GGACGCTGAAAAAATTGCCTTTACCGGTCCTAGCGGACACTACAAGTACATGAGGATGCCTTTTGGATTGCAAAATTCACCCCCAATCTTCCAGCGGATGATGGATCAGACCCTAACCGGCCTGAAAGGGACAGAACTCTACGTCTAGCTAGATGATGTAGTTGTTTACTCCAGAACACGGGGTGAACACGTCACCCGTCTCAGGAAATTCTTCAACTGCCTGCGGAAAAACGGACTTACTCTCCAGCCTGATAAATGCAATTTTTTCATGAAGGAGGTAACCTATCTAGGACACATAATCGATGACCAAGGTATTCATCCGGATCCAGCAAAAATAAAGGCATTAACAGAGATGCCCCTTCCCACAAGCCAGCAGGGAATAAGAAGATTCTTAGGCTTCAGTAACTATCATCGACGATTTGTGAAGGACTACGCAGAAATTGCGCAGCCTCTAAATGATCTCCTCAAGAAAAATGTAAGATTTAAATGGAGTAAAGAACAAGAACAATCATTCAAATCCCTCAAGAAAGCCATCACCGAGGACTCTCTACTGTTTCATCGTGACATGAACGAACCATTTATCGTTCATGATTCCAGTAGCCAAAAGGGCANCACCAAAATATTAGGAAAACCTCAAGAAACCTTCGCCTGGTGCAATATGGGAATTGCCCCAGAGGAGAATATAGGTCTGTCACCTCGCACATCGCACGTAATAGTGGCCCTACCCGATCACGAGCTTAAACCCTTCGAACGCAAAGAGGTGATTGAACTAGTAAAAGAGTTCAATGACATATTCCACCTTCTGTGAGACAAGCTTGGCAAAACTAAGAATTTCCAGTGCAATATCAGAACCATCGATGATAAACCTGTCCATAAGCGGCAATACAAGTACCCTCCTCAACATCAGGAGGAGATAAATCGACAAATCGACAACCTGCTGGAACAAGAAATCATCAGGCACTCAGAATCACCATACAACTCAGCCCTCTGGATTGTACCAAAGAAAGCCGACTCCAAGGGAAAGAAGCGATGGAGAATGGTGATCGATTTCCGACATCTAAATCAGAAAACGATCGGAGAATCCTATCCGGTACCCAACATATTGGAAATTCTCTCACAACTAGGCGGAGCTAAGTACTTCAGTGTGTTCGACCTAGCCAGTGGATTCCACCAAATCGCGATGGATGAAACGGACGCTGAAAAAATTGCCTTTACCGGTCCTAGCGGACACTACAAGTACATGAGGATGCCTTTTGGATTGCAAAATTCACCCCCAATCTTCCAGCGGATGATGGATCAGACCCTAACCGGCCTGAAAGGGACAGAACTCTACGTCTAGCTAGATGATGTAGTTGTTTACTCCAGAACACGGGGTGAACACGTCACCCGTCTCAGGAAATTCTTCAACTGCCTGCGGAAAAACGGACTTACTCTCCAGCCTGATAAATGCAATTTTTTCATGAAGGAGGTAACCTATCTAGGACACATAATCGATGACCAAGGTATTCATCCGGATCCAGCAAAAATAAAGGCATTAACAGAGATGCCCCTTCCCACAAGCCAGCAGGGAATAAGAAGATTCTTAGGCTTCAGTAACTATCATCGACGATTTGTGAAGGACTACGCAGAAATTGCGCAGCCTCTAAATGATCTCCTCAAGAAAAATGTAAGATTTAAATGGAGTAAAGAACAAGAACAATCATTCAAATCCCTCAAGAAAGCCATCACCGAGGACTCTCTACTGTTTCATCGTGACATGAACGAACCATTTATCGTTCATGATTCCAGTAGCCAAAAGGGCATTGGAGCCATTCTCAGCCAAAAAGATGATGAAGGAGACGAACATCCGATCCTGTACGCATCAAGAGCACGTCGAGATGCTGAAACAAGATATACTTCAGTTGAATTGGACTGCCTAGCAGCTGTCTACGCCTTAAACCAGTTCAAACCCTACATCTATGGAGTACCCTTCACCATTATTACGAACAGCCCAGCCCTGAACTGGCTCAGAGATTCTAGCAACCCTACTACGAGGCAAGTTAAGTGGAAAACCTACCTGAATGATTTCATGTTTGAGGTAGAAATCAAGAAACAGAAGAGAAACCAGTTAGCAGACGCCTTTGCAGAAAATCCTCTTCAGGACGAACATGAGGAAATCGTCATCTTAGCAACCTGCAGGCCTGCTCTACCAGTACCAAAGTCTAGTGTGAAAACACCGGGGACACTCACAAATCCTAACCGAAAGGTTAGAATAAATAGTGACCCACAAGTTATTCCCATCCCAGCGGCGGGAAGCTCAATTGCCGACAGGCTTCGGGCTAGAAGAGCAACAGAAACAAATAGTGGCACCCGGCAACCGATCTCCTGCAGATTGAATCGGGATTATAAAACGACACCCAAAATCAGCAAAAACCCCATATCATCTACCCGAGGTACCATAATTGAGAACAAACCAGAAACAGTGGAAGAAACGACCCCCACTCCATCCACCCCTCCAATTGTGGAGATGCCAGAATCAACTCCAACACCTACTCAATCCGAGAAACCACCACTACAGGATGAACCATCGGTAATACCTGTTGAAATGGAAGACCAAGGAAAAGAAGATCAACTGGAAATTTCCCTTGAAGGAATCCCAACGGACGAAAAGTTGGAGGATGATATATTCATCACAGATCAAAACTCCACCGATGAGGAAACGCCTTCTATCATCGAAGCAGAAACTCGAATAGAGGAAAAGGATGAAGAATCAAATCCCACACCACGTCCACCATTGGACATGGAACTAATGGAAAGAAACCTGGAAAAATTCTACGAGTACATGAAGAAAATCTCGGAAAGGGATGAGGAAATATTCCAGGAACCCCTAGAGCCACTGCTAGACCAGCTGCTACCACTCTACAAAATGAGAAGAACCAGCCTGGATCCAGAATTTAAAGAGAAATTGAATGAAACCTGTCAAGAATTTGAGAAAGAGATGGCTGAGTTGCAAAACCAGTCCAAACCCCTGATCAACTCGACCGACGAAATTTCGGAATTGACGAGCTCCACCGACCAAAATCCCGAAAAAACGGAGAAGGAAGAAATACCTCAATCCGGACATTCTGTGATATCGCAGCCAAAGGTCATACGAGAATCCTTACTGCCGACACCAAGGGCTATACAGTTACCAGTTATACAGTTATGGCAGGATCTTCTCCGGAAAAGAAAAATTCTTCAACAGACCTAACCCTAAGAGAACTGTTCCCACGCACCGAAGAAATCCATCCATCAACGCACTCCCAAGAAGTGGAAATCTCCCAAGCAAACGAAATTGCACAACCGCCATCAGCACAGCTACCGGGGGTGTCTTTGAGTCCATACCCCAAATTCCTCGCACCTGACCTTCCCACGAGCGAAGAGCACGGTTTCATACAGAATCAACAAGAAATATCTCAGAACAAACCAAATGAAAAAACTATGGACGACAAGATTACTATACCGCAAAGTGACTATCCGCCTGCGAGCAACATCAAAGAAACCCGAGATTGACTAACATTTACCAGGGGAAACATTGCTCATTTTTTCGCAGCAGANGCTAGATGATGTAGTTGTTTACTCCAGAACACGGGGTGAACACGTCACCCGTCTCAGGAAATTCTTCAACTGCCTGCGGAAAAACGGACTTACTCTCCAGCCTGATAAATGCANAACCAGCCTGGATCCAGAATTTAAAGAGAAATTGAATGAAACCTGTCAAGAATTTGAGAAAGAGATGGCTGAGTTGCAAAACCAGTCCAAACCCCTGATCAACTCGACCGACGAAATTTCGGAATTGACGAGCTCCACCGACCAAAATCCCGAAAAAACGGAGAAGGAAGAAATACCTCAATCCGGACATTCTGTGATATCGCAGCCAAAGGTCATACGAGAATCCTTACTGCCGACACCAAGGGCTATACAGTTACCAGTTATACAGTTATGGCAGGATCTTCTCCGGAAAAGAAAAATTCTTCAACAGACCTAACCCTAAGAGAACTGTTCCCACGCACCGAAGAAATCCATCCATCAACGCACTCCCAAGAAGTGGAAATCTCCCAAGCAAACGAAATTGCACAACCGCCATCAGCACAGCTACCGGGGGTGTCTTTGAGTCCATACCCCAAATTCCTCGCACCTGACCTTCCCACGAGCGAAGAGCACGGTTTCATACAGAATCAACAAGAAATATCTCAGAACAAACCAAATGAAAAAACTATGGACGACAAGATTACTATACCGCAAAGTGACTATCCGCCTGCGAGCAACATCAAAGAAACCCGAGATTGACTAACATTTACCAGGGGAAACATTGCTCATTTTTTCGCAGCAGAAATGCGGAATAAGAAAGCAAAAAGCAAAAGCAAAATAGCAAACTTTTAAGAGACCTCAGTCTGATAGACCTGGAGGAAATACGTAAGCTCAATCCACAACTAGGTCAAGTCATCGTCACGAAGTGCGGAAAATTCCGAACATTTATCCTCATTGCGAAGCAATGGCACTTCGAAAAAGTAAACAATCGGATACTAAAACTCTGCCTGAAAAATCTCAAAACCGCCATGGCAAAATACAAAATCACTGAAATAAAAATGGCATCTCAGGGCGACGAAATAGATGACAATATCAAAATACGATACTTCCTGGAGAAAGAATTTCAATTCCATCCAGCTACTGTAACTCTATTCCATGGTGGAATCCGGATGCCTCCAGTAGCCCTAAGACCAGAAATCATTAAGGACTGCCATGCAACTCTCCCCGGAGGACACAAACGGATTGTGAAAACCTTCAACCGAGTAAGAGAAAGGTTCTACTGGCCCGAAATGAAACAGGAAATACAGAGATTTATCAAACTCTGCCGAACCTGTCAACTAGAGAAGATTCGAAGGGTGAAATTCCGACAGCCCATGCTCATCACCGAAACACCCAGCGAATGCTTCGAGAGAATCTCTATCGGCACCGTAGGCCCCCTCTCAGCTACATGTATGGGTCACTGCGATATCCTGATGATACAAGATAAATTCTCCAAGCATTGCACCGCTCTACCCCTTAAGGATATCAAGGCTCACACTATCGCTCATGCACTAGCAACCAAGTATGTAGCCCTGTACGGATGCCCCAAGATAATCTTCTCAGATAAAGGGACCAGCTTCCTCAGCAAATTGTTCAATCAACTGGGAAAGGTCCTGAGATTCCATCATATAACGACATCTGGATACAGACCTCAGTCAAATGGAGCTCTTGAGAGAAGTCATCACGTACTAGCCGAACATCTGAAGACCTTTACCGATGAATTCACCGACTGGGACGAGCTACTCCCCTACGCTATGCTATCGTACAACACCACGGTACATAGCTCAACAAATTTTACACCATTCGAAGTCCTGTATGGAAAAAGGGCAGTTCTCCCCTCCAATGTCACCGACGAAGATGAGCCAATTCATACCTACAACGATTACATGGTAGATCTAATTAACAAATTGGAGAAAATTCACCATCTCGCCTTCGACCACCTAGAAAAGGCCAAACTACATTCCAAGAGCCTTCACGACCGAGACGCTAGACCAATAGACATCAAAATAGGGCAATTCGTCTACGTCGAGAAAGAATCCAAGATTGGAAAATTGGATCAGGCCTACACAGGACCCTATGAGATTGTCGACATCACAGAAAAAGGAAACGTGTACCTAGAAAGTGAAGACGGACACCACTTCATGAAACATCCAAATAAGCTGAAACCCTGCGCAGAATAAGCCAATACCGATTCCAGTGCTGCCAAGCAAACCATCCCGACCCTACAAACCATGAAAACAAAACCATTCCAGGAATATGAGTGTTGACGAATCAGGACGCACGCTAGTTTACGTCGATGGCCCCTGCTCCTTCAACGGCTCAATCGATGCCAAAGCAGGAATAGGAGTGTGGTTTGCGGACAACCACCCCCTTAACACCTATAAAACTCGGCAAGGCACACGGGCCACCAATATCACCGCCGAAACAGGGGCCGCCATCGAAGCAGGCCTAATAGGTATTCGCCACGACATTTCAAGAATAAGAATAATCACCGATTCCAAATACCTCATCAGCTGCATGACTGAACACATAAAGAAATGGAAATCAAATGGCTGGCTAAATACTAAGTCCAAACCCATCGTCAATCAAACACTCCTGAAACAGCTTGATGAACTCACCCAGAAAATCGACGTCCAATTTGAATATACCCCAGGACACCAGGGAATATACGGGAATGAAAAAGCGGATGAACTAGCAAAAATAGGATCAGAAATAATACCCACCGAACCTAACTAGACCAAAGCCGAAACCTTCCCAATAAAAAAAAAATAAGAAAAAAGAGAAATTAAGTACAACAAACTCAAACAAAAATTCTCCAACTTACAGAACACAATACCATGAGAGCTATCCTCATCATATGGACCACCGTTTGGGTAACCAAGGCCCAAACAGATTTAACACCCGATCAAATCTATTAACACCAATCTATAGACCACAACCCCGGACTCTACTATGAGAAAATCGACCAAATAAGAACAATCAACAGAAAATGGCGACTGGTGCTCACCGTAGATATGTACAACCTCCTAGGACAACCAGTGCCCGGGATGCAAACCATAGAAAAACATCAAACCGAATGCTATAAACACCAGGGCAAGCAAACCTGCGATAGAGTACCAAGGATACCTATCATGAAAGAGTACAATACGACACTCCAAACAATACAGAAACATCTGGAAAGAATCTGGAACAGTCCAGAACAGAACCCCAAAAGACGATATAGCAGATCCCCTTTACTAGGATTCGTGGGCACCATATCGAGATCCCTCTTCCGCACCATGGGCTACAATGATCAAGAACACCTCACCAAAGAAATTGATCGACTCTATTAAGACCAACAACAAATCACCCATTTAATCGGAAATTCAACTCACATCATTCAAGCTGAAATAAATGCCATAAAAAAAAGAACACGAACTGAACTATGAGAAAATTAGAAAAGCCACAGACAGAATAAACGTCATAGCCTCCAACACCAACCTACTGTCCGACAAGTTGACTCAAGTGGAATATATCGCAAGCCACGACGAAACAGCTAGAGAAATACAACATGCCGCCGGAAAGTATCTAGAAACGACCCACAACATCCTCCATGCCATAGAAGACGCAAAACACGGGAAACTAAACCCCATCTCTTAATAAATAACCAAAAATTGGACAAGGCCATAGAGGAAATTGGAAAAGTAATCACTGACAGCATCTTTCCAACATCTCTGGAAAAGACAGATTTAACCATCCTAAGCCAAATCAGTGACATGCACACCGGTTTCAACAACGGCTCCTTCCTCATAATCCTCGACATCCCACTACTAAGCATAGATCTAATGGAACTCTACAAAATAATGCCCTGCAAAGTTCCCCAGAGAATCCACGGGAACCAAACACACGCAGCATACGTAGAGCCGCAAAATGAATACATCGCAACCTCAAAATTCACCAACAAATATAGCCAAATGAACCGGGAACACCTGCAAACCTGCATTCCACTGGAGAACTGCCTAGCTTGCCCCAGAAACCTTCCCCTGAAGAAACCCAACGGAAAACAAAGCTGCGAATACCGCCTACTACAAACACCGACACCCAAGGCGACTCCACCATCTACCAGAACTGCAACATCAGAGTCACCAACAATCAAGACACACAATGGACCAAATTAACCAACACCGACGGATGGCTCTATGCCACCATACAACCAGAGACACTAGAAATAACCTGCACCAACCAACAAGCCACCAGCCTAACAATAAATGGCACAGGAATAATCCACTTAAATCCAAGCTGCAAGGCAGAAACCGCCATAGCCGTCATCGAGGGTGCAGGACTAATCAAGATCCAACTCCCCATGATACTGGGGTTACCTAAAACAATAAATATCTCAACAATGGCACCAATACTAAATGAAAAACCAAAACCCATACACCCATTGAGCCAAATAAAATAACATATCTTACCCACATCAGATGAAAACAGGGAATTCGACGAATCACTCCAACACACCTTAGACGAGGCGGAAGAAATCGGTCTCCACCACCAAGAGGAATACCACCACAGAATCCTCACCGCAACAAATGGCATCATCACCGCCATCATCTCGCTATCCATGGTCGCAGCCAGCATCTGCGCATACAGGCAAGGGCGGTCCATCATAAGCATTCTGTCTTGCTTCTCCCGCTGCCAGAAGTCCAAGAAGAAGCAAAGAAAATTCCAACGAAGAGTCGAAATTGGAACCCCAGAAATCCAAAGGTTAGAAGAAACCTCAGCAACAATAGCCATGGCCGGAATGCCCAGCTACCCAGCACCAACTCAAGCGCCGAAAAAGGAAGGGATCACCAAACCTAAACACGCCATCACAATCCCCAAACAGGACACTCCATCCGCCGTGGTCATCAACTGCACACATATCAGTAAACTAGCTTTATTGGATAGATACAGAGGAGTCAGACATCAGCCAAACAGCGGGCCCTGGCCAATCGCCAGAATCACCCCTAGAACCCGCGGGGAGACATCCTCCAAAAACCGTAGGTCTTCCCTCCTATCGACCGCCGCCAAAAACCCCTTGAAAATTAAGAGTTGCGTCCATAACCTCCTTGTCTAGAAAAACAAAAAAAAACACTTAAGTTAAGAATAAACACGCTACAAAATCAATCAAAACCACCTACCGTGGTCAGCCGATAGCAGAGCCCCAGGAAAGCGAGAAAATCCAAAATCGCCTCCAGGAAAGGATCCACCGGGATCACCCCCCCCGCAAACTTCAGACACCGCCGCCAGCAATGTCTGAAACCGGTCCCCTTCCAGCTGCTCCCTCACCTCTACCCTCCTCTCCTCCCACCGCAAAAAACTCTGAAGGAGATCCCCCTCCCCGAAAAAAACGGCAAAAGGACGAATCCCTACACCCCCAGGATGGTCAGGAACCTCCTCCACCTCCCTTTCATCATCAACCTCCAGAACCTCTTTAAGAGAACCTGGGGCCATCTAAAAAAAAAAAGAAAAAAAAAAGAAAATAAAAATATATTAAAAATTATCACTATTAGTACACAAAGGGAACAATCAATGCATGCGCGCACACACGTCCATGCAAGCAATAATATATATATAGAGCGGGTATTTGGGAGACCCGGGTTCGATTCCCGGCTGGGTGAAGCGGAAATTTTTTCTCTCTAAATTCTAATTCTCTTAGGATTGCTTTATTTTTTTTTTATTTTTTTTTCTGTGTATATATATATATATATATATATATATATATATATATATATACACAGGGTGTCCCATCTGAAAAGATGCGGCTAAATAGCTCTCAAGGGCGGCGGGTAACAAAAATTGCAGGGTTTCGAGGGGGAACTTAGTGCTGATGGAATCCAGGCCCTCATTGCTTATGTTTCTATGCTACGAGCATAAAGTCAGTTTTTTTAAATGGCAACAATATTTTTCACCTCCACAAAAGTCGTTCGTCTCGCCGAGAAAAGTTCAACCGTACCATATTTTTCGATGACATCATCGTTTTCATGTGAATAATTGTACGAAAATCAAACGAAAGGGAAATCCCTTTATTCAGACTATCTTGCCCCGCAAAAACGTTGGAATGTTATTTATTTACTATCTCGTCAATGTATCATGTAAACAAAAGATTACTGAGGTAGGTAAGGGGCGTTGTAAGTGCTACGTGTTATTCTTCATTTTCCGTCAGTGACAAAATATTCATCATTGAGTTCATATAGTGTGGTTCAAAATGGTTTATTCTGCTAGTGAATCTGTGGATATTTTACTCTTATTAAGTGAGTGTCGACAAGTGTATCGAAGAGCCACACGATTGTATGCACAGCGCTTTCCAAATCCACGACGACATCCTTCTGCTGCAGTCATTCGCCAAATCGAAGGAAATTGAAACTTTTCAATGTTGACGATCCACGCTGCATTGCTGTTTTAGCAATGATGCACATGAATCCTCACATTATTGTGATTTAAGATCTAGATCTAGATCTGGTCGGTATCATCCTTACCATATCACGTTGACGCAAGCATTATCTCCACAAGATATGGAGAACCGCATCAACTTCTGTCGTTAGGCTTGAGGAAGATTAAACGACGATCCAGATTTTTTCCAATACGTCATCTTTAGTGATGAAGCAACATTTCACAGTACCGGCTCTTTGAATCGTCACAATTGTCACTATTGATCAGCCCAGGCAGGAATTAACAAATGGCCCAAGCTTGGTCCAAGGGCGTCCCAGGCTCGGCCAGTCATGGGCCAAGACAGGCATCCAAGGATGGCCCAAGGCTGGTTGAGCCCCGAAATGATAACGTTGGGCCTCCCTTGACCACCAGGACTCGGACCAGACCTGGACACCAGCCTTGGACCAAACCTGGATACCAGTCTTGGACCAGTCCTGGGTAGCAGTCTTGGACCAGTCCTGGGTAGCAGTCTTGGACCAGTCCTGAGGACCAGTCTTGGACCAGTCCTGGGTACCAGTATTGGACCGTAATCAGGATCAATCTTGGTCCAAGCTCGAATCAGTTATCACTTTCCTTTCAGGCCGTGATTAGTCAAGGATGGTCCAAGCCGGGTATACAGAAATAGTCAAAGCTTAGAAAGCAGAATTGGCTCTAGAACAGCAGTGAATTGTGGCCCAGACTTCTGGATTTAATGGTTTAAAGATACGGAATGAATCTCATTGTTTTTTGC